CATCTCACACAATTTTTCCTTTAAAATTTTTTTTTTTTTTATAAAAAGCTCCGTCGAGAGATTACCAAGTGTTATTCATTCTTAACGAAACCGGAAATGAATTATGAAAACATTTTTTATTTAAAAAAAAAAATTTTCCGGAAATATAAAAAATTGTAAATTAGGATTTTAATAATAATAATAATATTAAACCCGTAACGAATAAAAAAAAAAAAGTATCACGGCATCGATATCAAAGGTAACGGTCGCGTGCAAATTACACAATAATAATAATAATAATAATTTAAAATAAAAATATAATATTACGTAAATAAATAAAAAAATATCTTTCTCAATGGATTTCCGCCATTTTTTATTTAATCTTTACATCTTTTCATAATTTTTAAAGTTTCCGATTTCGTAATAATAATAGCAATTTTTAAAATTATTTATTTATTTATGTATATTATATAATATCATCGATAAAATTATGCGTATACGCACACAAACAAACGCAAATAAGAAAAAAATAAATCGATAAATCAAATCAAATAAAAAAAAAATTTACTCATGGATGACGATGACGATGACGATGATGATGATTCCAATTAGGTTGTTATGAAATCAGCCTAACGAACTCTCCCCAAATATTGTTTTTCTCTCTCTCTCTCACTCTGGGGAGATAAAAGTGAGGAAAAAGAAAATGGGAAGTGAAGGGAAAGAAAAGGAAGGACAATCACGAGTAAAAAACCTCGAAGCAAAAAAAAAAAAAATAGCAGACGATAAAATAGAAGAAAAATAAAATAACGAATAATTTTTTTTTTTGTAAATTATTGAAAATTAAAAAAAAAAAGCAGAAGAAAAAAAAATCAATTTTTGTTCATTTGTTTGTTTGTTATCGTTTTTATTTGTGTAATCTTATCAGTACAAATTTTTTTTTGTTTAAAAATTCATTTTATAAATTGATAACCGCCAAAAATATCAAAATTTTCAATTTTTTTTTTTTTTTGAAATTCAATGTGTCAGTTTGGAAAATTTTTCTTTCTCCTTTTTTCCGGTTCGTTTTTTATTAAAGAAAAAAAACCGTTAGAGGGTAAGAGAGGAGAAGAGGAGGAGGAGGAGGAAGAGGAGAAGAAGGAGAAGGAGAAAAAAAAACCAATCAATTTTTGTTTAAGTCACGTGCATAGTTTTTTGTTTTTTTTTATGAAAAACAAATTTATTATTTAAAAGTAAGAAAAACCGCGGGAAAGTGTTCGTTCGTTTTAAATTTTCTCATTTGTCTATCTACTATTTATTTAACGGTTAAAAAAAAATGAGATGGAAAAAAGACAAGAAGAATAATTTCAAAAAAGAAATAACAGTTAGTAAAAACCAACGGGAAAACCTTTTTTCTTCCTCCCTTATAAAATAGACAAGTAGTAGAGGTAGTAGTAGTAGTAGTAGATGGATGAAAAGAGGAGGAAAAGCATAATGACCAGTGATAAATTTTCTTTCCCCGGGAAAACACAAATTACTCATTTTGGGAAGGGAGAAAAAAAGAAAAGAAAAAAGAAAAAAAAAAGAAAAAAAGAAAAATGGAAAACGCGGAAGCTTAAGGCAAATCAAAAACTTTCATATAATAAAACCTATTCATTTTAAAATAAAAATAAAAAATTTTTTTTTATTTTATTTTCCTTTTCTGGTTCAAATTCATTCTCACAGCATCCATTCCATCCCATCTCTCTCTCTCTCTCTCTCTCTCTCTCTCTTTTTTTTTTTTTACATAAATAATTTAAATGTGCGACACGTAATTATTTAAATAATAATAATTTTTTTTTAAAAACTTACCCTTGATCTGGCCCTGGACGAGCTCTGGTAATTTGTGCCCTCTCCATACCCTCGTTGGGGAAACTGAAATTTTATATATAATAAAAAATTAATTTATAATTTTAAATTTTCCCGCGTTTTCATTAATAATCTATGCGTCGTCGTCTGCTTTTAAAATCGAAAAATAATTTTTTTATTCGACGCGCATAAAAAAAAAAAAAAAACTTAACGACGTTATTATTAAATTTCATAAATTACGAAAAAACAGAAAAAAAAAAAATTTTTCCAGATTCGATTCCAGTTTTTTTAATTTTCTCCAGTTTTTATATATATACGACCCGATAATAATTTGAAATTTTCAAAAAAAATGGCGGAAATAACCTGGAAAATTTTTTTTTTTTTAAATTAAAATTAAAAAGTTTTTCGAAAACGAGTTCTTCCGTTCTACGATTGCGTTTTTTTTTTTTTTTAAGCCGCCTTCTGCTACCATTTTTTTCCTTTTTATTATTATTATTATTATTGTTAATAGTGCCTTCGTTGGCACTTAATTTTGTTTTTATAAGAAAAATGGGTGTGTTTAGAAGTGAAAAAATGCTTTTATGTCAAATATTGCTTAGTCAAGAAATCGTTTTCGATTGTATCGAAGTTTTAGGAAATTTAGGTTTGGTAGAATTTAGAGATTTAAACTCGTCCGTAAGTTTTAAGTTTTTTTTTTTTACAATCGAAAATAAAAAGTGATGAAAAAAATTTTAATTAAAAGATGGTATAGAGAAAATGAAAAAAAAAACTTTCAGGTAACTCAATATCAAAGAAGATACGTTGCTGATATAAGAAGATGCGAAGAAATGGAACGTAAACTTCGTCTTCTCGAAGAAGAAATAAGAAAATATGCGACGATGCCAAAAAAATGCAAAGAAATTCCACCGGCGCCGAGAGCAAAGGAAACTCTTGTTTTAGAATCAAATTTAGAAAGTTTAATTGAAGAAATTCGAAACGTTAATAAAAGTGTCGACGTTTTAAAAAGAAATCTCGTCGAATTTACCGAACAGCATCATGTTTTGAAAAAAGCAAGCGCATGGTTGGAAAATAATCAGCTGGTAGAAAAAGTTCGGAAATTCTTCTCTTTTTCCCCCACTCCCCTCCTCCCCACCCATTCCCCCGCCTTCTTTCCTTTCTCCGTTTTCAAAGGAAAAAAAAAGAGAAAGGATTTTTTATTTTATTTTATTTTAACGATTATTATTATTATTGTTACTTAGGAATTCGACGAAGAAAAACAAGAAAAACAATTTGAATTAGAACAAGAAAGAATGAGAGAAAAAGGGGTCGGTCATTTAAAAATCACAACTGGAGTCATAACGGTGGAAAAGATAAAACCCTTTGAACTTTTACTCTGGAGAATATGTCGCGGAGTCGCTTTTATTAAAATTATTCACATTTCAGACGTGATAATGGACCCTGATACGGGTGCGTCCTCTCTTCTACTTCCCCCTTCCCCCCGCGCGCGTGTGCGTGTGTGACCCTTTAGGCATTTATTTTCTCTCTTTAATTTTTATTTTCCTAATTACATAATTTTTTTTAAAAATAATTAATTCATTTATTTTCACGTGACTTTACCTTATAAAACAACAAATTTTTTTATTTATATTTGTTCAGAAACTAAAACGAAAAAAGCAGTTTTTATAATTATATGCCAAGGGGATTCATTAAATGAAAAAATATTAAAAGCGTGTAAAGCATTTCATTGTAATTTATATCCTTGTCCGATATCAGAAGAAAGACGAGAAGAACTCAATGAAGAAGCCGTTACGGGTATTAAAGAAATAAAAGAAGTAAAATGAAAAATGACAACAACAACAAAAACAACAACCACAAAATCATTATGATTATGATAACGTTAAAAAAATGTTTTTTTAGGTTATGCAACAAACTTTAGATCACCGTCGTAGAATTCTTATGTTGGCTGCAATGAACGTTGATAAATGGAAATTTCAAGTAATAAAACTAAAATCAATTTACCACATAATGAACATGCTTCAGTTAGATGAAATAAACGAATTTCAATCGGCCGAATGTTGGCTGCCGCAAAATGATATACAACTAATTAAAAGAAAATTAAATATGGCCGCCGATAAATTTAATAGTCAAAATAATCCGATAATAATTGTTATGAAACAAAATGAAATGCCGCCGACGTTTAACAGAACTAATAAATTCACAAAAGGATTTCAGGTGCCATTTTTATTTATCACCTATCCTATTATTATGATAATGATGATGATGATGATGATTTTAATTTTTTTTACGTTAGGCCGTTATTGACGCTTACGGAGTTTCTAATTATCAAGAAATAAATCCCATGCCTTTCACAATCATAACATTTCCTTTTCTTTTTGCCATTATGTTCGGAGATATCGGACACGGTTTAATATTAATTGCATTTTCATTATTTATGATTATTTATGAAAAAAATTTAACCGGAAAAAGAATCACTGGAGAAATACAAAAAATTTTCTTTCAAGGAAGATATATTATTTTATTAATGGGTAAGTTAAACATTATTTTTTTAAATATTTAATAACGACGAAAGAAGTTTCGACGGTCAATTCCTTATAAAAACGACCAGAAAAAAAAAACTGGAAAAGAAAAGATGACCGATGATAATGATAAAAGTATTTTTGGATAGAATCCCATGTGATTGACCCTCTACCGAAATTCTCCAGACCTAAAAACCCACATTCATTTATCTTCATTAATCTATTAACAAAGAGAAGTCTGTTATAGAAGAAAAAAATAACTTATATAAACTGGAGAAAAAAAAAATTTGTTTTTTACTTTTTCTTCTTCCACTTTTTTTTCTTTTATAGGTTTTTTCAGTTGTTACACCGGTTTTATATACAATGATTTTTTTTCAAAATCCATAAACATATTCGGAAGTAGTTGGAATTCAAACGTTGATAACAGTATTATTCTTAACGATGATAAATACGTGGAATTAGATCCGAGTAAAAATTTCATCGGGAATTCTTATTTATTCGGTATGGATCCAATATGGCAAATATCGGAAAATAAAATAATTTTTTTAAATAGTTTTAAAATAAAAATATCCATTATATTCGGTATCGCTCACATGTTTTTCGGCATATTGTTAAATATGGGAAATCACGTGTATTTCAATGAATTCTACAACGTTTACACGGAATTATTTCCTCAAATTATTTATTTCTCATCTCTTTTTATTTATTTGATATGGTTGATTTTTTACAAATGGATAAAATACGGACCTTTCAATAATCCGGAAAATGGTACGAGTTGCGCACCGAGTATTTTACTCACATTCATAAACATGATGCTGTTTAAAAAAGTACCGACGTCCGTCAATTGCAATCAAATATATAAAAATCAAGAAAACATACAAAAAATATTAGTTTTCGTCGCATTTTCCTGCATACCCTGGTTGTTCGCATCGAAAACGTTCGTTTTGATAAATAAAAAAAATACGGAGTATGACGTCATTAAAAAAAAAAAATATAAAGAAAGTTTTGGAGATATTGTGATCAATCAAGGAGTTAAAACAATCGAATTCGTACTCGGTAAGAATATTTTAAGTTTTTTTTTATTAAGCTCAAGTCGCGCCTAAAATGCGTTTGATTTTTAGGTTCTATATCCCATACGGCATCTTATTTGAGACTGTGGGCTCTTTCTCTTGCACACGCACAACTATCGGAAGTCCTTTGGAAAATGGTTTTCCGTCAGGGCATAGGTTCAAGAAGTTATCCTCCGGGTATCGTCACGACTTTAACTTTTGCCATTTGGGCTTTATTAACAATAACGATATTAGTTATTATGGAAGGTTTGTCTGCTTTCCTTCACACTCTTCGTCTTCACTGGGTCGAATTTCAAAGTAAATTTTATTCCGGAACCGGATATCCTTTTAAACCTTATTCATTTGAAAAAATATTCGAACAACAAGAAAACATAAATTTCGATATACATAATAAAAATATTTTATCGTGAAATATTCCAATGTTCGTTTCCTCTCGTTTGTCCGTTACCGACACGCAGTATAATTTTATCATTTATCAAAACGACTTTGTATTATTATTATTATCATCATCATCATTTATTTGTTATTGTTTGTAAGTTTCCTCTTAATAAATAAATGCATCTCTAAAAACAAAAAAAATTATTTACTTTTTTTTTTTCATTTATCGATTTTTCATCGCAATAATAATCATCATCATCATTATTATTATTAATTAAATGACGTCATCGAATTAATAAAAAAAAAAAGAAGCGAGAGAAAAATATTATTTTATTTATTCGATTCGAGTAGTTTTCACTTGATTACCTTTTTAAAAAATCTAAACGAAAAATTAAAAAGGTTTTCATTTTAAATTAAATCTTAAATCAACAGGAGAAAATTGCTGTTGCCGTTTTAATTCTTATTAATTTTTTTTTATACAATTTAATAATAATAATAATAATAATAATAATAATATAAATATATATTATTCGTTTTAATTATATATATATTTTTATAAATTTTTTCGAAACGCGAATCATAGGAAAATCTTTAATTTCTTTTATCTCGCCGCCATTTTTAATTTTTTTCCTATTACGAAGAAAAACAAGATCGAATCGTCTGAATGACGTCATTACACTGTCAATCACATCGAGCGTAACATAAGAAAACATATTGTTTTGATTGATTTAATATAAAAAATTAAATTCATTTAATAAAAAAAAAAAAAATTAAAAATTAAAAAAAAAGAAATATAATTTGACTTACATTATTATTTATTTTTATACGTAGCGAAAGACTTTTTATAAAAAAAAAAGAGTAAAAAATTTATTGTCAATAATTTAATTACACGTAAAAAAATGGTGGCGTTGATTTAACGTTAAAAATAAAGGAACCGAATTGCCAAAATAAATGGCGGAATTTAATAAAAAAAATTTTTTTTAATTAAAAACTTTATATAAATTTGTTAAAAATAAAAAAAAAAGAGAGAAAATTATTATTTTTCGTAAAAAAAAAAATTTTTTTTGAATATTAAATAAATTAAAATTTCAATTTAAGTTTCGAAATGTCACAAAATAACTGAATTTTCTCAATTACCAGGTATATATGTTTGCTTTGTCGAGTCGTGGAGT